CCCGTCCCCACTAGCAGGCCCGTTATTTTGGAATAACAACTCCTGCTTCCCACGAGGAATAACGCTCATTTCGAAATAGCGGGGGAGAGGCCGCTCCGTGGCTGCCGTTTCGAAATCATTGGCCTCCAGAGTCAGTCAACCCAATTACTCCCCCAAGCTTCCTGGGGCTCTAAGTCAAGGTAGCGCGTCCGCATTAACGGCTCATGTCTAGGCTTCCCCGTAGGGTGGCCACGCTGTTGCGAAATGGTTATTTTGGGAGTGATTTTGAAACCACTGCCTAGTGTAGATGTGCCCTTGGCGTGAGCTCGGGCGTGCCAGCGTAGCGCCAACAGGCGGAATCGAACCTGGGAACCTCTGCAGCATGAGCCGCTATGGCATACCCGAAAAGCCAGCTGGGTCTCAGCTAAGGCTATGGAGCAGCCTCATTAGTCTCGCTGTGCAAGGTCTAGGATGGGACAGTCCACCACAGCCAGGAGGTGCGTGGGTTACACCGGCACCGGCTGTGTTTTGCTCGGGGAGCGGACAGCTCTCATTCTCAAGGGGAGAGCTCTTTGGGCTCCACGCCAGGCAGACCGGCCCTGAGCTGCCTCGCCCGCTGGCCTCAGCCCATCCCTGGATGCGAGGCTCCTGGACTACGTGCGGGTGCGGCTGGGGGGCACTGAGTGAAATGCGACAGTCAAACTGGATAACAGTTGATGTTGGCTCAGAGGAAGCCAGTCTACGTAGGGGGCTGTCGTAGCCTCTTGTAGCCCAGCTGCTAACACCCCGGGGGGTTGGGGAGGGAGGTGATGGCTTGTGTCTGGCTTAGGATTGGTGTGTTGGGTTACGTTCTGGTCCCATTGACATCAATAGGGCCAGGGTTTCACCCCAGCTCTCGTTCGGATGGTACGTAACATGGAGCAGCGTGAGTGATCCCGCCCATCCCCAGCCCGGGGGCCTTGTGCTGGACCAGGGCCCCCGTCGGGACAAGCTTGTGTAACACCTCCGTGTGCGTTTGTTTCATTGTCCAGGTTCCACCATCCTGGCCGAGCGACTGGGCCCGTCTGCACCGAGCTCGCCCACGTCAGCCCCACATTCCCCCACGGTTCTCTGCAGCGGGGTGTCTGATCCAGGCCTGAGTACGTGTGGCTCCGGCCCGCTCTGCAGCTCCATCAGCGGTGAGTGTGTCCCACGCACGCTCCGGTTCCCGGCCGCGTGCTGCACTGCCCCCCTTCCTGCTCTGTGCCCATCAGTGCCCAGGGCTGCGTACGGCGAGGGACCAGTCACCTCCCCAAGCGAATTAAGCCATGACGTCCCCAGGGGATGGATTTTTAATGTGGGAGCCGCTCAGATGCCTGGCTAATGGGCAGCAGTAATTTTGTGGCCCCTTTTCATCGTCAGAGGGGAGCAACAAACTTGCTAGACTGCGTCCACCCTCCTGTGAATTGCAGCTGCCTCTGGGGAGCAACCGGGAGTGTTTACATTGAAATTCTCCAGCCGGGCCAGAGGCTCCCATCCAGCCTCACCATCTCCCATTGAGGCAGGGCGGCAGAATGCCTGCTGCACAGAGAGGCTGTGCCGTTGGTATGCGGGTAGTGCCGGGTGCCATCCCCACCCAGAGACTTGCCCAAAGCCCCAGCCCCCTGGTCCTGCCGCCAGACAATGCTGCAGTCTTAGACGCGCCTGCCACCACTGTGCTGCTTCCCCAGGCCTCCCTCATTCCCATCAAACAGCAGCCAGCCCCTTTGGCAGCTTCCAGTTTGCCCAACACAGTGAACGGTCATACAGGGCTCCCTCTGAGCGCCAGCTGGGCCTGGGATCAGGCAGCTGGCTCCCCCTGCTGGCCCTGGGGCAGCGAGCAGCTGGTTCGGTGCAGCGTATTGGCCTCGCACCCTGGGCAAGCGGCCTGGCTGCACGGCTCTACTTCTGAGACGACAAAAGTGCGTTCCCCTCCCCCCCCCCATCCCTGCTCTGCCCCGTTGCAGACGTGCTGAGCCTCGGCACAGCTCAGCGGGGAGAGGGTCAGAGTTCGGATGCTCGTTTGCCAGAGGAGGGGTGAGACTTGCCCAGGAGCGAGCCGTGCTCCAGTGGCAGAACCAAGCCTAACGCCGCTCAGCCAGGTGTGTTTATCACGTGACCAGCCTCCTTCCCAGCATGGACTTACTGGCTATGTCTATACTCGCGGCTTCTTGCACGAGAAATATGCAAATGAGGCTAAGTGTGGAATATCGCCGAGCCTCATTTGCATACCTAACGAGCCACCATTTTTTCGGAAGAGGCTTTTGCATCAGAGGGAGCTGTCTGCACTGCCCCTTCTCGCGCAACAAAACCCCTCTTGCGCAACGCCGTTCTGCCTGAAAATAATCAGCGTAACAGCAACACTCAAGAGGGTTTTCCTTGCGCAAGAAGGGGCAGTGTAGACAGCTCCTTCTGGCCTAAGAGCCTCTGCTGCAAAAATGGCGGCTCATTAGGTATGCAAATGAAGCTCCGCAATATGCCCCACTGAGCCTCATTTGCATATTTCTCATGCAAGAAGTCGCAAGTGTAGACGTAACCACTGTGCCCTGATCTTAGAGGCAAGGCGTGGCTGGGGCTGTCTCTGCACTACCGCCTAGCCCTGTAATGTAGCTGCACCAAATGCCAAGCGGCACGGCCTTCCACCTCCCTAGGAGCACCAGCTCCCTGCCCACCGGTTGTGCTGCTGCCCTCGTCTCTCAGCAGAGCCATAGCTGCTCGGCAAGTGTGTTGGCGTGGCTATGCCCAGCAGGAGTCTGGGCATGCTCATGCACCAGACCAGAGGCCTCCCTGCCTCAGTGCGCCATTATGCAGCGAGCCAAGCACATTATGGGCTTTTCTCACCTTCCGCTGAGGCCCAGCTATTGGCCACTGCTAGAGGCAAAAGCTATGAAAGGGGTTAACTCCCCCTGCCTGTGCCGGATGCTCCCTACGGTGCCAGGGGCACCAGGCGTCTGTGCTGCCCGAGTCCTTCCGCCCTCCCTGACCCTGAGTAAAGAGCGACCCTGTTCCTTGCATTCCAGGCACTGCTCCAAACTCCCCCGTCAGCATGCCGGAGTCACCCCTCTCCCCATCCGGCTCTGGGGGCTGGGGGGACGAGTGCACCATCTGCTACGAGAACATGGTCGACACCGTCATTTACTCCTGCGGACACATGTGTCTCTGCTACCCGTGTGGGCTGAAACTCAAGAAGATGGCCAATGCCTGCTGCCCCATCTGCAGACGAGCCATCAAGGATATCATCAAAACATATCGTAGCACTTAGACAAGCGGGGCGGGGCGCAGACGTGAGGGGCGAGACGGGGCTCTGCCTCCACTCAGCGGTGACATTCAACCCCCTGACCCGCTCCAAGGATGCCGGAGAGGCCTGCTGTTGGCAGCTTGTCCGCTCATCCCCTCCCCACTGAGGGCTGGAGCCGGCCTATCAGGGAAAGCAAGACGACCCCTTTTCAACGGGTTTGCATTTTAATCGCCAGAAACCAGCTGGAGACGTGCGTCCCCTTTGGCACAGTGCCCAGCGCCGGCTCTGCCACACAGCGGGCAGCGCAGGCGCGGTGCCGGAGAGGCCTGCTGTTGGCAGCTTGTCCGCTCATCCCCTCCCCACTGAGGGCTGGAGCCGGCCTATCAGGGAAAGCAAGACGACCCCTTTTCAACGGGTTTGCATTTTAATCGCCAGAAACCAGCTGGAGACGTGCGTCCCCTTTGGCACAGTGCCCAGCGCCGGCTCTGCCACACAGCGGGCAGCGCAGGCGCGGCGAGGGGCACCTTCTCCCCAGCAGACAGCGTCTGGAGGCCGCCAGGGCGTGGCAGCAGCGCGGCGAAGAAAGGAGGCTGTTTGGGGGGGGCTGACCCGGCCGAGCAAAGGGCAGGGTGGCGCAGGCCAGGCGGAAGACGCGGCCGTTTGGCAGGCAAAGGCTGGGACAGGGCACATCCAGCAGGCGAGAAACGATAAACCCAAACCCAGCCCCCTCTGCTGGTGGCGGAACCCAGCCCCGCCCAGGAACCCTGCGAGCGTGCTGGCCCGCGAGCTGGGAACGGCACGC